AGGCCCTTGTACTTTGCTCTGTCTCTGGAATCCCTGCTCGTGTCGTTTGCAGCATTTGTGAAGTGATCATGAAGCACTCGGTAGTTTTCCCAGACTGCTCTGACGCTCCTTTCACTTGAAGCAACCCAGCGGATGGACAAAACACGCCCTATCACCAGGAGACGCTGTCCGACTGCTTGCGCACACTGCGCTAACTGCCTCTGATTTTTGGGGGAGGCATGGAACAAGGAATAGAGTTTGTCAAAAAAGATCTGGAAATGATTGAGCCCTGAGACCTCCTTGACCACATCCCCAACTGCCAGCTCTAGACGATGATTGGAGCAGTGCCACACAAACAGGCTTGGGAATTTACTACACAACTGGGTAGCAACGCCTGTTCTCTTCCCTAGCATGACTGAAGCCCCATCACATGCAAAAGAAACGAAACACTGACCTAAAAAGTCCTCGTTAAAATCTCTTCCAAGACACTCCATTAACGCCTTTGTGATGTCATCAGCCGTTGTTCCATCCAACTCGATCAGCTCCCAAAAAAACGTTTCGGGCTCAGCATCAGCTAATGCTGAGCGTAGACACACAACAAGCACCGTTTTACCACTAATAGTGGTAGATTCATCGACCAAAACACAGAGTTTTCTTTGGTTTTCTGTAATGTCTTTTGCCATTTTTTTCTTCAGCTCATGAGCTATGTGGTCGATGATTTCGCCACAGGTTTTATTGGAGTGCAAAACCCTGCCCACGTTCAGCCCATTCAGTTTCTGTACATTCAAATCAATTGGCATGTCTGTGAATGGCCGGCTATGTTTGCCAATTTTATATGCCGTTCTAAAAACTCTGATAGTGGTGTCTAATTCAGATTTATGCATAGACTGCACTTGATGTTGAATAGTTTCACGTGAAGCAGATGTAAGGATGTCAGCAGCTTTTACATGAGCTTGTGATTCTTTATGTTCTTTGATTTTTTTTCTCAGGCTAGCTTGTTGTTTGCCCTTGTCAACACCGAAATGAGACACTGCACACTCACCCCATTCAGTTGACAGTTTCAGTCCTTGTCCAGTGTGTATTCCCAAAGATTTGACATCTCTGCATATCCGACATCCTAGCTTCTTATCTTTAAGAAGGAGCCATGCATTGGTCTTGCAAACATATTGCACCTGGTCCGTTGTCCAGCAGTCAGGTGCATCGCTTTGCCCGGTGTTGGTGGTGGCAGTTGCGCCAGCAGCAGCTAACGTTAGAGGCTCTGGAGGAGGCGGCGGAGCTAGTGCTAATGCTAATGCACTAGAACTTGGAGCAGGAGGATCAACCAAAGAAAGCTCCCCATCAGACACAATTTCCAACACAGGCACAGCATTCTCTGTATTTGAAGTTTCTTCCGGCGACAACCGCTGTCTTTTTGCACTTTTATTAATCCACGCTAACATTTTAGAAATGCTAATTTGTGACGTGACTTGCTTTCCTTCTCTCGGGGGCGTGCCTGCTCTGTTCTATCACTCTACATAGCCACCCACTGGGTGGGAGTTGCACTGCATAAACACAACACACGTGCATCTAGGTATGTAAATTGTAAAGCATTAAAACATGGTTTTACTAACAGTTTTCAGTATGTTGTTACTTCGGCATTATTATTATTATTATTTTGAAACGTGTATTACTATTAAATCACGGTCAAATAGGTTAATTTTGACATAGTCGTTTCCACCACAGTATTTACATGGAGAAGATAAGCCCCGCCCCCTCTCCAGCACGTTCTGTTTGAATGACAGGAGTAAACAGCTGACAGCCGCTGTGAAACTCCAGCGGTTAGAGCGATGAGAATGTCCGTTCGGCACCTCATGACGCATCTACTGAGTACCGGGCGGCTGTATAGATATATATGGATATATAATAAGAACGGCGGGAGAGTGTTGAGTACTGGCACGGTGCATGAGTACCGGAGTACCGCCAGCATGCCGGTACTGAGCAAGAAGTGCCGGTACTCCATGGGTCAGAACCAGAAGTGCCGGTACTGCGTACCGGTGAGTACCGGCCCAATTCCAGCACTGATTATATTGAGTTATTACGGTTTTATCAGAGTTATATTTCTGCCGATCGGAAGCAGATCCCTTCACTGATCGCGAGTGCAGTAAAGCCCGCCTCCAGTACTGCAGGATCTGCATTCTGATTGGCTAAAGCACTTCTTTGTTAAACTCTTTGTAAAGATTGGGCTGGAACTTGTGTGTTGTTAACCCTTTGTGAACTGGGATACATATGCGCAACACAAAAAACACAATTAAAATTCGATATGAGCTGAGGACCCGCATGAGACTGGGCAAAGAGCCGCGGGTTGGCCACTCCTGATCTACTGTATTAAATGTTCATCTCTTCTGTAATTACCCATCGCCCCTAAAGGAATCACTTATCATTTCATATAAAAACAAGTGTCTTTTTGTGGTGTATTTTCCTTTCTGGTTGAAAACATTTGATCATGTCACTCTCTTGTCAGTGTGGGGCAGAAGCAGCTGCTTTGCCTGGCTCGGGCACTGCTGAGGAAGGAAATCTTGATCCTGGACGAAGCTGATTGATTGATTGATTGATTGATTGAAAAGTTTATTAACAGCTTGTATATTGGGTACAGTACAGTACAGCTCAAAACTTACAATTGTTAAGGGGATGCAGACCAGAGAAAGACTTTCGTCTTGTTTACATCAGGGTCCCCCATTTCCAATTCATCATGTCATTTAAGACATATAAGACATATAAGACATATTTGACATATAAGACATATTTGACATACAGATGGCTTATTTACAATTTACATACAGGTGGTTTTTTACATACAGATTGCTTGTTTACAATTTTCATTTTAGATTTCGTTCTAATACATCCTAACCGGACATTTAAGACATACCAAGTCTACAGATATACAGTTAGTAACAGAGTCTAAAATGCGAGTATATACATAGATGGGGGGGGGGAAGCTGTCCATTGAACGACAGGTTGAGATTTGTACCATTACCGGGGCCAGTTTTGCAATGCTCTCCCCCGAAGGTGCTCTTTAAGAGAGGTTTTGAAGGTAAGTATAGTTTTACTTTCCTTTACAGTTGTGGGAAGAGCGTTCCACCTTGATGTGGCATAATTGCGAAACGTGTATTCCCCCTTTTTTGTGCCAAATCTGGGTTTCACATGATTTGTGGAGCTCCCTCTGGTGTTATGATCAGGGTATTCCTTGACCTTTGGGAAGAATGTTGACATGTACATGGGTACCATAGAGGTGTAGTGGATCTTGTAGACCAGGCCCATTGCAAGTAGCTGTACTCTGTCGTCTACTCTAAGCCATCCTAGGTTGTCAAAGTGGGCAGAGGTGAGGTGGGTTCTAGATGAAAGGTCAAGCAGTAGTCTGACCAGTTTATTTTGCGATGTTTGAAGTTTTATTTTTAGCGCCTTGGAGGTGCTATGGTACCATGACGTGCAAGCATAGTCATAGTACCCTTGAATGAGTGCTCCTGCCAGAGTCTTCAGGGTGTTCTTGTTTACCAGAGAGGAGATCCGGTATAGGAATCTAGTTCTTTGATTGACTTTTTTTATTACATTGGATGCCATTTTGTCACAGGAGAGGTTTGCCTCAAGAATAGATCCTAGGTATGTAATTTCCTTCTTACTTGTGACAATAATGTCGCCCACTGCAACTGAGAAGTCGTCGGATTTGCTGAGATTATGTTTCGAACCGAAGAGAATGGACTCTGTTTTACCCAGGTGTAATGATCATTTATCGCGAGGTACTTTTCGACCTGTTCATATACTATTTTTTCCATGACTTTCGAGATGGAGGTAAGTATAGAAACAGGGCGGTCGTTGCCTGGGTCCAATTTGCTGCCCTTTTTGTGCAGGGGGGTTACTCTTGCAATTTTGAAGTCTTTGGGTACTTGTCCCTGTTTTATGGAGAGGTTAATTATGTGAGCTATGACTGGTGAGATGGCGGTTGCTGAGTCTCTGAGGAATTTGGAGGGGATATTGTCGTGGCCAGTGGCCTTGTTAGGTTGGAGGGCGCTCAGTTTAATGAGTACCTCTGCTGTTGTTACCTTTGTTAGACTGAAATCATCTTTGCGTACCCCTAGGTTTTTGTAGTAGGTCATGATGTGATCTACTCCAAAAAGCCCTGAGTGGGAGGGTAATTTATTTACAAGAGTTGTGGCTATGTTTGTGAACAAAATGTTCAAGTACTTGGCCACATCCAGTTTGTCTGTGATGAGCCTGTTATCTGTCTTTATGTTTAAGTTAGAAAATCTCGTTTTGAGTTTTTTACTGCAGCCAAGCTGGTTATTGAGTCATTTCCAAAGTTCACGGGGTTTATTTTTGTTTTCCTCAGTTTTGACATTGATGAAATTCTTGTTGGCAGTTTTGAAGCCACGGCAACTGTTGACCTGGAGACAGACGACCTGATTCAGACTACCATCCGTCAGGAGTTTTCACACTGCACTGTCCTCCTCACCATCGCCCACCGCCTGCAGAGCATCATGGACAGCTCCAGGCGAGTGTCTCCTATAGGGAGCGTGCACAGACATTTGGAGGGGCTATTGCTCTTAACTGGGAAAAAAGCACAAGACCTTTTGAAAATTCTAACTTGTTTTTAATGTAAAAGGTTCATAACAGAAAAACACAACACTGTCATTGCAAGTGACACTCAGTTGACTTCTATGTCAACTGCTAAATTCGTTATTCAGGCACATTTTTAGTTGTGCGGTCCATATCTCATTAAAATATCTAATGTTAGTAACTATTAAAGAAAGAATGGGGACAATTCTGTTTTAATGTAGTTTGACCTTTGTAACTGCTGTGCGGACATGCTGATGAAATAGGGCTTCCAACTAATTACCTTAAACTCACTAATGAAACCAGTTCAATTCACATTATTCGTATCATTCTTTATGAGCGCAGTAACGGTAAGGTATCTAATTACTTATTTATTTAGTATTCCATAATTTAATAACAGAGATGGACCATCTCTGTTATTAAATTATGGAATACTAAATAAATAAAACTGAAGTGGCAGAAATCCTACAATGAAGCGGGACAGTGAAGTGTTCTCCGTGAGAGGGTGATCAAGAAAAGAGCGAGGGCCCCGTCGAGGGAGTTCACGGAGCAGAGTAAAAGACACAGAAGCACACACTGTAAAAACCAACCTATAAGATCTACTCAATAAAATGGGGGTAACAATTTGCACACACTTCTTTTGAGTAGATTTGACCCAATGTTTTTGGGTAAAGGGTACTAATATTTAATATATAAGACTTACTTTAAGAAATTAAGTAAAATCTAACTCAATTACTTAAAACATATTACTTATAAATGAGTAATATTTACTCCTAATCGTAGGCATCTATTTACTTAATAATTGATCCATATTACACATTAATATTACTTTATTAGTAAGGTTACCAGGAAACAATATATTACCACACAAGATTTTATTGACCAAACGTATAAGTGCAATATGGCCATACATTGAGATGATTTAAACAGTTAAGTGCATTTCAATTGTTAACTGAGCAGAATCTTCAAAATAGTCACAATCACATTGTTTTAACAGTAAAGTGCATTTTAACATAATCTTCCAAGTGCAATTTACTCAACTATGAAAACCTTACGTGCCAGTAAACAGTCCACTTTTAACAGAACAAGGTTTCTCCACATCCATTACAGTCCACATCTCATTATGTTGTGTTTGTGTCACTCGGCACTAAAACAAGTCAACATCCACTTGAGAACAAATTGTTTATTTGCGGCTCTGGACCTGTTTGAGCAGCTTGGCTCCATCAAGCTCCAAAAACTGTTTTTAGAATACCTCAAATGTGTATTTGAGCTTGTTGGGGTATTCCAGGTTGAGGGCGTAGAGATGAATTCCATCAACAATGCGAATGCCTTTGTTTGGTTTCTGCACAAACCTCTGTCTCCCTCTCTGACAATAGACACATCTGCTGGTCCCTGGCATCATGGATCACAAGCACCTTCACAGTTTGGTCCACGACGCTGTCATGCTCGTCCTCCATGCTGAAAAGAAAGAAAAGCATATTCACTTTAAATTAGGCATATTAACAAGAAGCTATTATACAATATAGGCTTAGTGGTCTAGCATTAAGCCTAATCAATAAAACCAGGGATTGACTCTTTTTAAATGATTTGTAAAAATGTGTGGCAGCGATTAAAAATAAAACAAGATTTCTAACTTATATAAAACATGTCAGGCCCGGTCAAATTGCCCATCGATCTAATCAATGACATTACATTGATTGATTGATGATTCTTTCCCATAAACATCACTTTTCAGTGCATGATTTTATTTATCTTATTTCACTTTAACACCAAAAGAAGGTTGTATATGTGAAGTAGCTGCACATCAGTACATTATCCCTAAATCATGTTCCTGTGAATGCTAAACCATTTATAAAAACAATAAGATGTTTACAGATTTACAGCAATAACTTGCATATTTCTTTGTTAGGTGTCAGAGCGGTTCATCACAGACATTAAACAATGGTGTCAGAGCGACCTCCGAAATAACTCCGTTAAACTCTTGAAGTGATCAGTCTTTAACGACATACCTGCTGTCTTGAAAAAGGTCTTCTTGGCGTTCCCCAAGGTCTTCAATCAGGCACCTGGCCACTGCATCTCTTTTCCCAACACTCTGGGCCTGTGAGGAAATGCATTTTAGTGACAAGACTTATTTCTGCATTTTCATAAACATGAATGAAACATTTAAATAAATGTACCTCATCAATTGTGCTCAGAAGAGGGCGCATCCTGGAGCCAGCATCTCCTCTTTGGCACGCATCAGCTGGAGCGAGTGGTGTTAGTGGACCCATCCAGTTTCAGCATCAAAGTCTCTTCCAGTGAAAGAGTTGTTACGTGTGGAACTCCTCCTTCATCTAATAAAGAGCATCGGGGACAGCACTCATTACTCACAACTCTGACAACAGTGAGTTGAAATGGAAACAAAGAAACGTAATGTTCTCACCTGAGCCTCATTGAATAAACCATCTCTCCTTGAAGACACGTGGGCTGAGGGTCACCACCTCCACTCCACTACGAATTGTCTGCAGGATTTAAAATGTATAGGACTTAGGTGCCGTCTCTGAGGATGTTACACTTATATTCACATTTCTTACACTGAACATTACCAACAAAATAACACAATTAAACATTTTCATGTAGAAAAATCCTAAAATATATAACAATGAGCTTTGGCTCTGCTCCGTGGTAATCTCTCCAGTCCTCGCGATAATATACAGTAAGCTTAATGTAAACATAAGTCTATAGGCTATTGCTGCAGCTATACCTCAAAAAAGACAAATGAATCATAAATCATTATTACTGTGGCTTGGCAGAATATACGATGGTTATTTTTCACTAAGAGAAAGTCGCGAGATAGTTGTCTCAGTATTGATCGTTTCATGCACGCTCATATGAACACAGACACACGAGGAAACTGACGGCCGACGTTAGATAGACTGAGAGAGATGCTACAAGCTAGCTTCAACTTAGTTAGCCTTGTGCATCATTTGAATGTGTCCCCCGCAAACCGTTACTGTACTCAATACTACTCAACCGGGTCAGGGTTCGTCATATTACTTGAACTGACATGTTATTTAATAAACGGTACTGATGTTTGCAGTGCGCATCACCATTGGAAACTGTGTGGAAAATAACTTTGGACAAACACACATAGAGGACGACCAACTTCAAAGGTTGATTTAAACGAATGCCGCCTTCCGCGCGCTGTTCTTGTTAGTACTTAGCTAGCAAACAATAGCCTTCTCTGCTAAGCACGCACGATGCTAACGTGAAACACAACTTGGCTGGTTAACTTACATTAATATACAACTGTCGCCGTGACGCTTAACTCATTTCAGACGGCATGCCGTCAACATGCACATTATTGCTGTAATAACAATTATTAACAATATGGAGCTAAACATCATAGTGCTTTACTCTTAGCTCCTATGTTAGCTACAGCTATCTAGCATCAGTGACCGACTTCCAGTGAGTAATAGATGAGAACAAACTTACATTCCTTGTCTAACAGTGAAGCAAGCAGACAACAAGTCTTGTGATGAACCTCAAAAAACGTGAACATGTATATGTAGGACATGATAGACAGTAATATCTTACCTTCCAACATTTCCACACAGCAGGAGGAGGGAGGCGCGAAAGAGAACCGCTCCTCTGGCCTGCAGCCAAGAATCACCGCATGCGCATGCGCAAAGGGGCAGTGTGGGCCTAATGTCTTCAAGTAGATTTGACCCAGATTGTTTGTGTTTCAGTTGGTACTGTCAGAAATTAGGTAGTGTAGGTAGAATGTACCCATTCAAATATACTAACAATGCTCACTTATATACCTTGAGTACAATTTAAATGATTTGCTTGGATAATATATACTACCCTCCAAAATCCTTTTTTATAGTGCAATAACAAGTATATGTAGGTGTTTTTTTTGTAAATAACCAACGGTGTCAAGGTGTAAAGTCCCCTGATTTGTTTCTTACGCCAGGCAGGCATTTGGTGTGATCACCAGAGCCATATGAGGCCGAGGGCTTTCCTTTGCGTCCAGCTGTCAGATTGTAAACAAAGTCACGTGACTGGGGGCAGATGACAGCGCTGACAAGGTGTGTTTCCCGCAGCGAGACGCTACGATACTAACTGTGGGCTTATCATGTTGATTCGGCCACAACATAAAACAAATAAAAACTGCTCTCTCCAGAGGGGCAGGTCAGGCAAAAAGGGCTGTTGCCCGGGCAACATTAGCCCGTACCTGTGCACGTCCCTGCTGTGGACAATCCCCACAGGAGCACTTTGGGGTGAAGCGTCTCAGGGACACAACGACTTGCTGACTGCAGTGGGACTCGAACTTGCTACCCCCTGCTTATCTGTTTAAACAGATAAGCAGACTTGAAAGTTCTGCAAGACTTCAAAGTCCCCAGTGGCTTCGTTTAACATTATTATAAGCAGACATTATCCACTAGCTAGCAAGTTAACCGCTGGGGTAAGCAATTTAAAATTTGAGCTGACAAATAGGGTATCTGCAAACCAAGAGTCGATAGTCAACACATTTAGAAAATATCTTTTTTGCAATAAAGAATTCATGAAAATGAAATCATGCATGGTTTGGTCTGAAAATGCAACAGACTGATTTACTTTCTTGGCTGTACTTTGCTGTGTTAGACTGACTATAATCATTACCCTCTCTCCTATCCTCATTGCATTTCCTTCACATTTGAGCTGGAAGTTATTTCAAATCATCCTCTGCCTGACATGTACACAACTCTTTTCCAATACTGCCTGTGTTCCCCTCCCACAGGGTAATGGTGCTTGATGCCGGAAAGATTGTGGAATTGGATTCTCCGAGCAACCTGCTTGAAAAACGGGGCAATTTCTATGCCATGGTGAAGGATGCTGGAATAACGCAAGAAGACGTCACAAGTCTTTGATTTTGAAATTGGACTTTTAATGTACCTCCATAAATTGCTTATGTTGTTTGATTTTTTTTCAAAAGCTGGATTGTGCTTTGATATATTTTATATTTGTATTTAAAGGAAACATCCACTAAGAAACATCAGTTTATCCTTGTTAATTAGACAATATTGATTGGTTTACATTGTGTGCAATGCTTTTGTGTTTTTAACCTTCGATTCGGAGAAAACAAATAGTTTTTTCGGAATTTAGACACTACAGAGTTTCCGAAGACACTACACTACCCAGAATCCCCAGCTATCGTTTTGGGACTACAACATCTGCCTTGCTTTACAAACCCCGTAATTAGTCCTCAAGCTCTGTGATTGGATGTTGGAGTGGCAGTGCGACAAGGTTACGCCGAGACACTCACATTTAAAACATATAATTAATACATGGGTGAAAATTGCTTGTGCCCAATGGGCAGCATTAATATACCCACATGCCAGCTCAGGTCAGAAGAGCTTTATTTAACAGCTGGTCTTATGTCTGTGACCCCTCCTGTTGTTCATTGATAAGCCTGAAACATGCACTTGTCAAGGTTCAGAGGCACATTGTGCAAAGATGGCAGTAGCCATCGATCATCTTAAGATAAGATACTTTATTGATCCCAAGTTGGGAAATGTTTTTGTTACAGCAGCATACTACTTTGTTCTACTCCACTACAATTCAGAGGTTAACGTGGTATTTTTACTCCACTACATTTATTTGAGTTACTTTGCAGATTCTGATTAATGATGTGAAATATAAACAACCCTTAAAGCAGACTTTAGTTACACCTGAGTCAAATTCAGGGAAGGTGATTGTCAAGTGCCAAAATAAACTATGCAATATATTCCCTCTGCTGGAACTGCTACCCCCGCGACCCGACCACGGATAAGCGGGAGAAGATGGATGGATGGATATTGGACGTTAAGTACTTTTTCAGACTTCATATTTATCTGTGGATAACCCCAACGTATCTTTGGACGTCCGGCACTAAACTGTTTTATTGTAGAGATCACTACAGTATCTTCTTAATATTTAATATTCTATATTTCTATCATGCCTTCTACTTTCCCTCAATTTTGTATGTAGGCCACTCTTAATATTTAAATGTTTTCATCAAATATAACATTCAACAACAACATTCAATAACGTGCTTCAACCACTAGGCGGTGCGGGTTAAAAAAACAGTGGTCTAACATAATATCAGCTATTGAAATTGTGATTCCATAGTTGTGTCTGCCATCACCCAAAACCCCTGACTATTCTCTCAACTCAGTCTTTACATTCTTTAATTCAAAGAAAATCAGTAATATCTTTAAAAAGTCCTTTTCTATCAGCTGTGCACCGTTATGGTGTAAATATAACCTATCTACCGATTGGATCAAATATAAAAGTCAGCCGAATTACTATTGATACTATAGGAGACGTATTTTGTGAAGAGAAATGGAAGATGCCGTTTAATTGCTGATATATTTATGATCCACGTCACATATTCAGTTTTGGCGGCAGTTCTTCCAGTTTGTCCAGAAGTCTTCTCACCAGGGGCCTCATTTATAAAGCGATATACGCTCAAAAAATGGCGTACGCCAGTTTCTACGCAAAGTTTGCGATTTATAAAATACTAACTTGACGGGAAAACGTGCGGTCCTCCACGCAAACTCTGACCCATGCGTACGCACTAAGCACAGCAACGGGAGAGACGAGAAACTGCAACACCGTTGGCAGAAGGAAGAATGGAGAGAAATATGTGGAAATAATACCATAAATAAAATGTTACCTCTCATTTATCAGATATGAAGAATTCACTTTCAAACATTGATTAAAGCCAATCTCAAACGCCTGTGTGAGACTCCTCAGTGCACACAAACACATAACTTGGATAAATAAATACGGATATGTTATTGAAAACCACCTCGAATATGTTGTGTTAATGTTATGAAATGTTTTCTCATAAATGATGCAGTGAGCAGGAGGACAGAATTACGTCTAAACTGACGCCGTGTTACATTTCTATAGGTTGTAGATACGAGCATGGTTTGATATACTATCACGTTTAATCGTGTTTGATGCCGTTTGCCAAGACTTGATAAGTCGCTCGTAAAACACAGGAGGTCTGGAAACTAAGAACACCATATGTGGTAAATTGTACAGCTGATATAACACAACACATTAGTTGTATTTCCTTTAACTGGTGGATATAGAGTTGCTGCGGGGGGGGGGGGGGGGGGGGGGGGGGTTGAGACGCACAGGCTGCAGTGGAGACGCTGCGCACAGCTGATCGACAGCTGGGACACAAACCACCAAATACAGAAACATAATTCAGATCCAGTCTCATGACTCCACTCCGGAGGGATTCCTCGATCACTTCTTACAGTCTCTCATCAAGGGGGGGTCTCCTGTCCCCGGTACAAACACACTGCCTGAGGAAGAATGTGTATTGTTTTTGTCATTAATCTTTTTCGGACCACTTATTTATTTATTTTGGTGACGACCCGACCTCCATGCTGCTCCTCTGGTTCAAACTGCATCCACCAAACGATATGATTTATCTCCACCTCCCCAAAATAACCAGAATCTGACACGGTGTGAGATGTCTTTTTTAGCTGTTCTGTCGTCATTTCCTGCGATCTTCTTCATAGTCAGTCACAATGAATGAATGAATGAATGAATGGGCGTTTCTTTGACTATTTATAGGCCAATATGGGCGTTACGTGAACCCCGCAAAAGCTGCACCGCATTTCGAGTCGGTTGTGATTTATAAAGGGAAACCGGCGTAGGAAGTGCTGTACGCACTTTCCTCGCCGGTGCGCAATGTTTGGTGAATTGGGAAGTGGCGGAAAATTTATGGACCTATTTTTCGGATTTCTACTACGTTAGCAACCTTCCCACGTGAATCCTACGCACGGCGTTATACATAAGGCCCCAGGGCTCTATAAATAAAGAACTACGGCAGATGTGTAATATTTAATGCAGCCGAACCGTGTATTACAATGCCGTTATGTGATGACTTCCAAAGAGAAAAGCAAGAGCACTCGAAATAAAGTATTTTTAAAAAAAAAAGTTTTCCGATTTCATATCGCATAAACACCATATCCCAACGTGCATTGCGGCTAAAACATCCAGGATTATGGGTAGTTCGATGTTTTAGCCTTTCAAAACCTCTGAAAAAAGACATGTGTCTCTCAGAATCGAAAGGGAAAAACCTATGGGAAAAACACAAAAGCATTGTAGGCCTACACAATTTAAACCAATTAATGTTGTGTAATTAACAAGGATAAACTGATGTTTTTTAGTGGATGAGTACTGCAGATATCACTGTTAAATCATTTGATCATTGGTTTTATTATGAAAACTTTGAGACCGGAAAAACCGTTTTCACCCCGTGAGGGTTGACGCTAACTTTACATGGAAGCTGCCGCATATATACGTTCTCCTGGCGAGACCTCAAATCATCTTCGTAATATCTATCAAACTATAGATCCTACACATCGACTGGATGTGGATTCTAAGAGTACAATATACACTTCTCGCTAGAAATCTAATCAAAAAGCGTTTTAATGGCCAAACTATCCTACAATTTAGGATTTTCCTGAGAGGGTTATTTGTGATTAAACGACCCTCTGTAACGTTTGCATTCAACGGGAGCACGAGAGAACCGCAGTGACGCGTCCTAAAAACCGGAAGTAAACTTCTTCCGGTTCCTTCGTGAAAAACGCAATGCAATGTCTCCATAGGATTTTGGAAAATAGCTCGAAATAAGGGCTGTGGTTGAAACACATTTAAGAAATGGATCACGTTTTGTTCAGCCGGATAATCTCCACATGTCTATCCTACTTTTATAATTTTTGAATCATAAATCTAGTCCCCAGAAGCAAAATGCTAACGTTATGCTATAAACGAACTACAAGCCAGTACAGCAGCAGGGTCGCACGACTTCAACGTCACGCCAACTTAAGATCGTTTCAACTGACTTGCACTGAAACTGCACTTTGAACACTTTAAATATATTATTAACATTTTAAACTGTATACCCGTTATCTAGGCCGTTTTTGTTTGTTGTATGTATACATGTCACACTGTAGGAAACAATATTTCGATATTTCTGGATGTATAACACATGTAGAATTTTTCACAATAAAGCTGACTTTGACTTCCGCGTGCTTGCATATTTTAACAAAGCTTTTCATTTAACTAGAAGTCATGGCTGTGTCAATTACCAGTCTGATATCGTTTTACAAAGATGACAAGAAGAGTGTAGATGGAGGAGAGAACCACTACAAGTCAGGACACGTACAACAGTGCAGCCTAGATGAAGGTGTGCTTACCGGTGTTGTCAGGGCTAGCATGAGGGATAAGGTTTATGGTGTCGGTGAGTAGTGAAAGCAAGAGTACGTTAACCTAGAGTTCATTTATTCACATTAATTCCCATCAACAAATCCATTTTATGTGTCACATGAAATCTTTATTACAAATATTACACACCAGAAAACACAGAAATATCCATGAAATAAACATACAGTAGGCTATAAACAATTAAAGGGATAATTGGGAAGGCATTACAAATGTAAATATATTTAAAATAATAAAACAATCCCACCACCACAGGTATCTACAGGAGAAGAGGGAATTCTCTCCACAAAATGTGAATGCCCATGTGGAGAATGGAAATGCAGTCATGCGGCTGCATTAGCCATCTTTGCCATCCACAATTTCAGCTGCACTGACACCCCCTGTCAGTGGAAGAAGCCAAAGGCAGCTAAACGTACGCATTCAGTGGAGGAGCTATTTCCTCCAACCAATAACTCATTCAACTGGCTGACAAGAGAGCCCACCTCCGAAGATCGTGACTGGCTGAGGGACAGACTCGGGGGCAGGTTCTCAGGAATATCTTGGCTTCTCTCCCCCGAGCCAGAAGAGGAACACTACAGCTTGGAAACACTTACTGTTCCTGAAATTATCAAGCATCATGGACCTGAGGCAATTGTGGCAAGCATGGCATTGTCTGAGGAGCAACAGAGGGCAATGCAGGCGGCTACCACTGGTCAGCGAACCAACCCAAACTGGCATTTGTTCAGGAAAGGAAGGTTGACTGTCAGCAACGTTGGAGCTGTCCTGAGGTCAAAGTGTGTGACTGCTTCCCTTAGTGCCAGGGTGCTAGGACAACAACAGGCCCTTGATGGTGTTTTGTCTGTACAGTGGGGGACTATGAATGAATGTGAGGGCGTCAGGGCATTCACCACTGCAACCCAGATGCAGGTCCATGAGTCAGGTTTGTGGCTCTCCCAATCAGGATTGTTGGGGGCATCTCCAGATGGTCTGGTAGGGTCTTCCGCTGTGCTGGAGGTAAAGTGTCCCTACGGAGCCAGGGAAATGACAATTAGTGGACTAACTTACTTTTCTGTAGTTTACCGTTACTGTGACATATCAGTATAGCCACGGAAGATAGTTTGTGTGATTCATTCCCATGCATCAAGGTTATTTTCATGTATGTAATTGTTTTTCCTGCACAGTGTAGAGTCTTGTTGTGATGAGAGGGATACAGGTATTTCATTAAAAAAACGTGCTCCCTGGAGAATAGCTACAGAATTGATATCACAATTTAATCGGAGCTGATCACAACTTGTCATGAGTGATCCAGTCATCTCGATGGGCGTTCGGGCTGTGAAAACAACGTGTGTTTTACTTTTAGGCTGTCTGAAGGTATGGACAGCTATCAGAGCTACTATACATCACATTAAGAACGATGTACAAATGAAAGTCGGACACAAATATATAATTTAAATGATTTTTTCAAGTTTGCAATATTTTGAACAGGCATCCACACAGTCACCTACTTTGTAATGTTCGATACCTCCCTGTTACGGCCCGTCTACACTACAGGCGTCAAAAAATGCTTTCAACGCTTCGCCCATTCATTTGAATGGGGTGACGTAGGATATTTTCAAACTTCGCCGAACTGCATTGTGGGTAGCATGGCAAGGCGTTGCAAGCTACGCGAGCGTCTATCGGCGTCAAAAGTTGAACAATGTTCAACTTTTGAGGCTCGATGCTTGCTCGAAGCTGGCGTCAGCCAATCAAATCCCGTTTATGCAAATCTGCCAGTACAAGCGCTAGCCAATCAAACCGCGTGCAAGCTGGGAGAGCCAGACCGCTGTTCATTTCCTCATATTCCAAACGAGAAATTACGGTAGCAAATCCCCCGGTTCTTTCCGACCAGAACTATTTACCGGGATACAAACCGGAGGAACCAGGCATGGAGGGAGGAGGCAGAGACAGTGGGTGGAACTGGTAGGTTTTCGCCTGTTTGGGGATTTTATATCCAGTTTACTTCGTTTTAACATTGCTATTGCTTTGTATGTCGGGGGCGGGAGATTCATGTGATTGGTTGTTGGTCGCGTTGCTCGCAAAAAATCGCCAAGCTTCAGACACGGCCAGCTTCAAGATTTTTTGATGCCTGTAGTGTAGACGGGCCGTAAGCGTCACGATATCCAACTCTCACCCACAACCTCACATACGAGTACTGAATGTGCATCAAAGTGATCTTAGGAAGGCAGATATAGCAAAAGATTAACGTAAACGACAAACGAGGCGATCGACGTGATAAGTCAACAATGGGTCCTCAGTGTACACGCCTATGACGAAAATAATAGAATGTCGCCAGTTGTCATGACTCAAGTTATACTGCAACACCATCTCTAAAACGGCGATACAGTCACTACCCATCATTTACATTTCACCAAAAATGTAACGTCAGCTTACCTCATGGCACGAATCCAGACTCTCCTTTGGAAAACATTGGCCGGGAAACGATAGAACGAGCACGTTTCATGCGAAGACCTGTGGCTGCAACCCGGAGCAAAGCAACAAACCATCGCGTAGCTAACTAGTAGTGCTAGCTTTAGCTAACGTTAGCCAACGAAACGAACTGCCGAGTAAAATTGGAAAACACTGGTAATTAATTATTCTATCATTTGTAAAACTACGGTGTTAAAAATGACAATTTCAAAAATACAGATTCTAATGGTCAGATATAGATATAGGCCTACAGATACTTAAGATACTACAGATACTAAAGATAGGCAGGTACTTGCTTTCAAGCAGAACACAGGGGCAAACAAACTCAGAGGAGTGTTCACGTGTTCGGCGTAATGACGTACAACGGCCTCGACAATTTCTGTAGTCCTATTCAGCCACTTGGTAACAACCATCGTTTCTCAGACACGTAAACTCTTCAAAAATCACCAGCGGGGTCACTGCTGATGTATTTAATGTCGTAGAACAAAACGTGATTTATCTCTTAAATGTGTCTCAACCACAGACCTTATTTCCAGCTATTTTCCAAAACCCTACGGAGAAAATGCATTGCTTTTTTGATGAAGGAACCGGAAGTGCTAAAAATGCTAACTTACTTCCGGGTTTTAGGACGCGTCACTGCGGTTCTCTATTACAATATGTTTTAATAGCAATGTATATTTAGTTGTATGCATTTGAATAAATGTATTCATACATCTTCAAAGTAATAGTTGATGAACTTGAAATGTGCAAATCCTGAGCAAACCATACATGCTGTAAAAGCAGCTACAGTATGACTACACGAGTAGCTGATACTCACCACAAACCTCCAGTGCACATTTCTTATATTCACAAATCCAATGGCTCCATCATAAGATCAAATGTGACCTGAAAGAATTAGGGAATATGTAAACATAAGTGTTACTTTCTATAATATACAGGTGCAAAACAATCATTTCATTTACACGGTATTCATTTTTTTTTTTTTATTAACAGGAACAAGAAAAAAAGGGAAGCTTATATTCTAAATGCATTGGTTTAAAACAACACAAAAGGCTCCAAAAACGACATACGTGATTATAATAACGCTGGAAGGCGCCTGTAGACACAGCTCAGTCTCCTTTCTCAAGCCTACAAAACTAAAGGGATGAAAATACTTTGAATAATCAGTTTCACTCACCTTTTTTAGCTCTTGCCTGGCCATCTGCTCTCGTGTGCCGTGTAGGATCACACCCATGGTGTAGTGATCCAGGAGGTATAGACGGCCAGCATTATCCTTCAGGTTGAGGATGCCTCTAATGTAACATTCGATTACCTTTTGGATAAATTGTAGGGTAAATAATCGTACAAAATGCCAGCTAATATAGAGGCCAAAGTCGGTTTTAATCATATCGTTGTCAGATCATTTTAGAATGGATCAATTATGCAAAACCTTTGCTAAAACGGGTCTATCTAAAGTCACACTCCAGATGGACTGGCATAACAATTTACTTGGATATCATTTTGTGTTGCACAAATTACATACTTTTTGTCAACAATTGAATCATTAACATAATGGCTTATGTGAGATGAGCAGTCCGGGACAGCATAAGTTTTAATAAATACTCGCCTATGATGAGTTGGTCAGGTCTCAGACTCTGAAATGCTCTGTGCCTCAGGGTGAAATGATGCTTCTCTTCAGCATGTCTTACAACAGCCACAACAGCTTCAGTTGGTTTGCACGTCCAAAGGGCATCAACCGAAAATGAAATGAACAATGGTGTCATAATAACTTCGTACAGCATTTTCCATTAATTCAATTTTAAATACTTTTAATGCACATTATAATTTCCTTACATTTAATTTTTTTAGATTGTATACCTTTTCTATGACAGAAAGATTGCCTCATGCTAAAACGTTTTTAATGCTTTCTTAACGTTGTTTTTATAGCTTGAAGAATTGCTTACTTTGTTACTCTTTTTAAAGCATACATTTTAATATAGCAAAACAATAGCTCTGTTGCCGGCTTGGACCCTTTACTGGTGGGGTCATTGCTGCTGTTCTCCACGTCTGCTCTGAATATCTTCACCAGTGTTCAGAGTTAACTTTGCTCTTTTTGGAACTGGAAGAATGTCTGGAGTGGTGTAATATTTGGAGCTGGCAGTGGAGGCTTTGCTCCATCTCTCTTTGCCCAACCTCCCTTCGATTGACCGATGTCTTTTGGTAGCAAAGTTTTGAGGAGTAACTGCTCAGATAAGTGATGTGCCATTATGTGTTCTCTGTGCCTCCCCTGTAGAGAGCCATACATCTTTCTGATGAATGTCGCTGGCCTCGGTCGTCTCTGCTTTTTTAGAATAGAATGTTTGACTATTCCAAACCATCTCTCCACATGGCAGTTTGTGTCCCTTGTTTTACTTTGGCCAAATGTGTCTTCCTCTGTGTCAATTGCATATATTTTCAAATTCCCCAACAGCAGCCCACTCTAAAGGGGGAAAATCCCTAGTAGTCAAAAAGGACATCAACAATGCCAGGGCAAAAGTATGGATTTGCATCCTGTGGGGTTTCGACCTCCTCTTTTTCAAGCTCTCCCTGTACCTCCTCCATGACCTTCCTAAACTCATATGTGAAGGGAGATCTGCCAACAATTGTGTGGGCATTTCTTCTTTCTTCATCATCTTCCTCCTGAGTTAAGGGGCTGTCTCCTAACTTGTCCCCCTTGTTTAGAGTTTTGAGAGGTCCTGATAATTTATTCCGGTAAATTACTCTGACCTCCTAATTGACCTTTCCGAAGATTATTGAGTCTATGTAAGGTTGCTGCTTGGCTCAGATCCACCAACGTCAGCAAGATCTCACCTCTTCCTAATAGGCCGCAAGGTGAACCTCGAAAAGTCCTTTAGAAAAGAAATCCCGCTCCACAGAAGTGAAACTACACAATCTTTAGTTCATAAAAAAGAACGATTCATGCTTATCCACCAAAAAAAATTTCGTCGCTAAAATTCCTGCCAATTCTTCTAGGCACGTAATTATTGGCTGAACTATTCCCTTCGAAGCGTAATAATATCTTGGTCCAAAGTCGTGCCACGGTTCATCACGTGATCGTGCTACACCAATTGGGTAGCTGCATATTGTCAACAGAAGTGAAAGATGGCGGCCGCCATGGTTTCATCGAGTAGCGGAGACGAGGAAAACGCACCAGAAAGTCTCAAAAAGTCAAAATTATCAACACACAAACATTGTTACATGCATATTACGTCTGTGAAGCACGAAAATGTTGATTGTTTTACCAATACAAGATGGAATACGTACAGGACAAGCTTACAACGGTCGCTCGGCTTGAAGGGAGACTCTCGGAACGTGGTGGCTGAAAACCACAAGCACTGTCTTGATTTCGAGTTCGAAGATATTCCTGAGGACGCTGGCTTCCACCACACATGCTACATAAGGTTTTACCGACACAAAGGCCATGACGAAGGTGGAAAAGACGGCTCGCACGTGAGGGAGATCAAGACGTTAGGGAGGACCTTGAGGTCGAGCCCATCCCATCGACGTCTCGCAGCACGTACCGAAGCCAAACAGAGAAGCTACGATCAAGGTCAGGCCTGCCAATCGCAGGCTCTGGCCCCGTCCTTCCTGCCCTGTGCATTATATGCAAGATGAAGGAGAAAATGATCATCAAGCAGGCAAGCGACAAAGGGATCAACGGTGTAAGGCTGAAACATTAAAAGCAGGGAAGCAAACCCCCTCCCCCACCCACACGACACACACACACACACACACAAACACACACACACACAACACACACACACACACACACACACCACACCACACACACACACACCACACACACACACAACACACACACCACACACACACACACACACACACACACACACACACACACACACACACACACACACACACACACACACACACACACACACACCACACACACACACACACACACACAACACACACACACACACACACACACACACACACACACACACACACACACACACACACACACACACACACACACACACATTCTCTGTGGTTGAATAACTGAAAGGTACAATTATGTGTGAGAGATACGTCAACAAACTCATTGAGTTGTCCTTTTTTTCCGTTTAGTCAAATTGCAGAAAGCTGCTGAGAAGAAAGATGACCAAAGTGTTCTTTTACATATAAAAGACAAAGACTGTGTGGCTCTGGAGGTGCGGTACCACAAAAGCTGTTACAGTCAGTACACCATGTTTTTGCTGAGACCTGACAAACCAGAGACAGAACAGTAAGTTATTTCTCCTTGGATTGCTTACCTATTTGCACTACCACCAGACTGAAGTCCAGGTGTGTGTCGGCGATGGCTATATATATATATACACATACACATACTTAACATTATAAGTAAACATCCAATTTCCTTCTGTTATATGTGCACACAATCACAACACTTATTCATTTATCCATTTATTTACTTCTCATTCATGTGTTGTAGGGATGAGGCAATGTTTGATGCCAGTTACAAGCTGTTCTGTGAGAGGATCATCCGCCAGAGGCTGCTTGTCAACAATGAGGTGCTTAGAATGGGCCAGCTGAGGCAGGCCTTCATTGACATGGTGAAAGCAAACGAAGGTGTTGATGCTTCAAACTACAGGTAACTGCAATGTAATACAAGTCTTATTATTTATCATGTGCAAGGCCAGCTTTAAACAAAATGTGTATGACAGGCCTGTTTGGAGAAACCCCCATGATGTGTAGTGTGTAGTGTTGTTTGTGATGATGTGGGCCTTTATTTGGCTTCTTTGGTGTTAAATGTGCTGTATGGCAGATAGGTTCTAGTCTGTAATGTCTTGTATCACCTCCACCACTCTGCTTTTGATGGTACTCCTGTGACTTGTAATTGTCACTGTTTTGTTGTGTTACAGACAGGATCTGTTGAAGAAGAGGCTGGCTCAAGATTTCCCTCAGCTAGCGTTTCACATGCCCACCAAGCGCAACGTCTGCGAACTGGTTTTTGCTGAGACTCTGTCAAAGGATGCACTCGTGGACATGCTACCAGATCCATCCGGTACGGAAACAACACAGTCCAGTGAATTGAGCCAGACAGACAGCGACAATGAAACAGGGAGAACAAAGTGCCAAACAACACATGAGGACACAAGGACACTGTATACAGCAGCGTTGTTTTTGAAAAGACTGCTTAGTGACACTCCTGGCATGTCATGCCCATGGCCTCCCACTTCTGAAAATGTAAATGTCACTGAATCTCAAACTGTTGTCCCCATTGGACTATACAATCTGCTCAGCTGGATTATAGGTTCCACTGAGGAGCCAACACTGGATCATTATGTCAACATTGATGATGACGTACATTTGAAAGTGTTGTCTGTTTGTCAAGACATTGTGTACCTTGCTTCCAAGGGCCGCAAGCAGACACCCAAGTCCTTGGCTTTAGGTTTAACTGTTCGACATTTAACTGGATCATCACGCATTGTATCACTGCTTAACAGACTGGGACATTGTGCATCATGGGACACAGTTTTGAGTCTAGACACTAGCCTTGCCCAACTGACACTAGTAGAAGTGTCACATCACTCATAGATACGTTTGTTTTTGGTACTAGAACAGAGTATAATCAGCAGGACTCTTTTAACCAGCTGAGGCAATCACAGCACCAATCAGCCGCTCCGCCCAGCCTGACACCAATCAATTATACTACATTACATGTCCTTCTACTGTTTTCTATGTCATACCTTTTATATTTGTAATAAATCTCGTTTTTATGGTTCATCAGTGTTGTTTTCATTTGTGGAGGGATGAATGAGTAAATAAATGAATCAATGGACATTGGTATAAGTAAGGCAAGGCAAGTTTATTTATATAGCACTTTTCAACACAAGGCAATTCAAAGTGTTTTACAAAAAATTAAAGACATTAAGAAAATGGCATTTAAAATCAGGCATTAAAAAGAAAAGCTAATAAAAGAAACATTAAAAGAAAAAATACATGGATAAAAGTTACAGTGCAGTCTAAGATATGAATAGTTCAATTAAAAGCAGCAACAAAAAGAAAAGTCTTCAGCCTGGAAGTACTGCATTTTATTGATCTAAATGACTTAACGTAACAAGTTAACCTTCTTCTTGGACGCAGAAATCAAGTCATGTTTATTTTAAGAGTGCATTTAACGTGTACAGGGTAACAACAGACAGACAAAAAGTCCTCAGTCTAATGGAATAATCCCAATGAACCTAGCGATGTGAACATGGCAGTCCAGGAATGATAGTTTGATAAATATGAGTTTGATATACTTTATTAATCCCCGTGGGGAAATTGTTTGTAGCTGGAGTTGGCTGATAAACGCTGCTAGTCAATGTTGATTCGATGGTCAACTCTGTTCCCAGAGAGTAAAACCTCTCACAAATACCGCGTATATAACGCAAATACCTCGGACTTAGTGATGTATTAAGACATATGACAAAACATGACATAAAACAAGCATACAGCACTGTTTAGAATCCATTTGGTCTGGTTTAGCGTAACCATGGCGGCCGCCATCTTTCACTTCTGTTGACAATATGCAGCTACCCAATTGGTGTAGCACGATCACGTGACGAACCGTGGCACGACTTTGGACCAAGATATTATTACGCTTCGAAGGGAATAGTTCAGCCAATAATTACGTGCCTAGAAGAATTGGCAGGAATTTTAGCGACGATATTTTTTTTGGTGGATAAGCATGACTCGTTCTTTTTTATGAACTAAAGATTGTGTAGTTTCACTTCTGTGGAGCGGGATGAAACGATAACAGGGTTCACCTTATGGCCTATAACCCCCCCCGAAGAACCAAGGTTTCAATTAACTGCTGTTTCAATTCAGACAACTCTTTTTTAATCTGTTTAAGCGATCCCGAAGGATTTTGATATCAGTAAATGGAGTGTGCTCCTACCTAAGTGTGTGTGGCAGGGTGCAATCTTACCTTTGACGCAGGAGAGGAGAGCACAGGTGTCTTTTAAAGGATCCCAATCCAACAGGTGGGATTCAGTTTATTTGAAGAAAAATAGGTCCAAACTAATACAGGGTTTTTTCCTTCTCTCTCACAGCATTATAATCATACTAACAAAAAAACCGTGCTGTGATCATGTTCAAATGAAACTTTAATTCACAGTCTTACATTTATTACCAAAATGTTTTAATTTCAACTGCCCATTTCAGTTGTGACATTTTAAAATTCTCCCGATAGAATTTAGAGGTATTTCCTCGTAAAAAGACCGGTGACAATAAAAAGCGCATTCAACTTTTCCATTTCACCAACTCAATTTACATCAGTTTCATACCTTTTTTCCGACACAGACGGCGGATTAACCTTTCAAAAACCCATTCCTGTCCGCCAAGAGTTCGAAGGAAGGTCCTTACAGGTCGCGGTATTTATAATTTTCAAACACTTTTTCCGACACAGACGGCGGATTAACCTTTCAAAAACACATTCCTATCCGCAAAATTCGGGGGACCAGATTTTCCCCACAGGTCGCGGTATTTATAAAGGTTCACACACTTTCTCTCATCAAATCATTCCACTCAGCCAACAACCAATAAATTCGAGAGATATTTACCCCGTCTAGAAGGACCTTACCGAGAGCTATTAACCCAGCTCTGAAGCACACAGCCTACCGGGAGAGAGTCTACCAGGGGTCACCCCCCCTCTCTCGCGCTCTCTCAAAAAACCAGTCTCTTTATGCTAAAAAAACTGGATCCTAAACCCAAAAAAACAAACTCCTCCTCTTACACCCAATTCAGTTGAAAACCGCGCATGCGCATAATGTACAAGGCTGAACATGTCTCAACATGTTCCACAGCTGTTATGGGATAAGACACCCTTTCATATGAGGTAAAAAGGACATGAACTCTCTTTGGCCTCTTAATGTTTCTCCCCTTAGTGTGAAGCCCCCCCCCCTTCCCTGTGGACTGCTGCCAGAGGAGAGGAAGAAAACTCAACCTAAACACCACTTTGTTTTGTTTATACTGTAACTATAGAAAACCTAAAATATGAAGCATTTTCATTGTGGGTTATACAAGAATATAATTGATTATATTTGATTATAACTAACTTTCGTTTTTAAGTATTAAACATACTATGAAAACTCACAACACCCTCTTTTCAAAACGCAAAGTTATCAAAATAGCAACAGAAAAAATTGTAAGCATAGATACATATTCAAAAACCGTCAAGAAGCATTCTCATTATGGGTTTATACAAGAATATGATTGATCATGTATGATTTATAATTAACTTTCGTTTTTTAAGTATTCACTTCATACCATGATCTCAATTAACTTTCGTTTTAAGTATTCACTTCATATGAAGATCTCAACACCCTCTTCCATGTCGGGAATCCTGCATTCTTGAAGATTTTACATTATAAATCTTCACCAAAATTATTCAAAAACCATATTCTTCCAAACTCTCTGCTGTAGTCTGACCACCAGGAGACTATTGATGTGTGTGGTGAGTTTGGTAGAAATATACTGTATAATAGTGAAGTGATTGAATATTATTGTATTCTCTCTTTTCGGAGTTGCACTTTGCAGACGGTCCTTGAGCCAGGGGCGGTTCAAGGGGGGGGGGGGGGGGGCGGGGTGGGCAGTGCCCCCTAACACTGACTTTGGACCCCCCTGTGGCCCCCCTGAAAATGAAAAAAAAACTAGGCGTAACTAACGCTATTTGTCTTTCTAGTCGGACCCATTAGAGCAGGGGTCTGCAACACGTCGATCGCGAGCTACCGGTAGCTCGCGATCCCTCAATAAGTAGCTCGGCCAAGCAAATCCAAAATGTAAAAAATACACACAAAAAAAAGGAAATGTAATTTAAAGAATCGACACTTTGCATAAACGAAACCTCAATCTTAGCGAACTCTATCTACTTACTACAACTCTATATCTATCCAACACCCCTCCCCCCACAATGAATATCGACCAATCACGTTCTTGCAACAGTTTAAAAGGGGAGTGATTAGTAAAATATGCATAAATAAAAAGAAAGAATGCTAGGTAACATAAGATAAGAATAAACCAGTTTAAATGATTTGTTGTTGGTTGTGATCATATTCTAAAGATGTTTGGATTATTGAAAAGTATACAGTGTTGAGAGCTGTGTCCATAAATTCATGTTGTGCTCAAAGTGCACCAGATTGATGCTTTTCACTTCAACATTTAAAAAGAAATCTTCCATGCATGCCCCCGGACCCCCCTAGAGGAGGTGAGGACCCCCCTAGAGGAGGTGAGGTCCACCCTAGAGGAGGTGAGATCCACCCCCAAATAAAGCAGGTTACAATAATTAAATTGCAAACATTTTCTTTTAGTAAACACTGCAAACGGGTCCCACAGACCCAAACAGCACAAAGGTTAAAGGTCAGCATATAATAATGTTAAAATGTGCTAAATATATACACTGCAAAAAACAAAAAAAGAGGAGTAAAAGTAGCCCTCGACTTGTTTTATTTTTTGAAAGTAGCTCTCACCCTAAAAAAGGTTGGTGACTGCTGCTGTAAGGAGTGATAGTGACGCGTAGAAAAACCGGAAGCTGCGCTAACCTCTGGTGGCTATCATTAGCAGCTAATTTTTCTACTCCGATTTTTGCATAAAAATGAAATTATGGATTATCAATAATTTTTTCAAAGTGACAGACACATTGCTATAACCTATGGATTACATTACATTACATTACATTGCATTTATACGGTGGCCGGCAGGTGCAAACGCTAAACAACGGCCAAAAACACACACATAAGCAGGAAACACCTGCAAATAATGAAATGAAAAACCAACAAACCCTGAAAACACATACAATAGAAAAACGCTGAATTTACAGAAATGATGCAAGCTAAACCTACAACACACAAACCCCGAAAACAAACGCAACACAAAAACGCTGCAAATACAAAAACGATATGCAAAGTCAAAAGCACATACAACCGAAAAACACATTACAAAAAAAAAAGACATTACAAAAACAAAACATTCCGGAAGTGCTTCAGGCCTCTAGGGGGCGCGCTACGTGGAACAGATCGATGTCTGACCAGACATAGAGAGAACGAACAAGAGGAAAGAAAGTTCATTTAAGTGGAGAAAGATATAAGAAGGTAAGTTTTGTTTTTTTATACATAGAGCGTCATATTTACGTAGCTAGCGTTAGCGTGCCTAACTACTACACCAGCTGAGCAGAGCTTCACGTGAAGAGAAGATACAGTGAGGGAAGAACATTGTAAAGAGATGACAAATCAAGTGCAGGCAAATAACACGGGCCGTAGTGAATACCGCGGAAAAAGGACATTTGAATTCTTAGCAGTTTGTTTATATTTGTGTATAGATGTTGCAACTATACAGAGCTTTAGCAATTGCCTGTAACTATGGTCATGCTAATAAAGCTATTGCATTGAGAGAGAAAGAGAGAGAGAGAAAGTGACAAAATGTGAAGAGGGACAAAGTAATGACAGTATAGTAGTGTGCATTAGACATTCAAGGAGAGAGAGAGACAAATCACAGATTCAACGGTGAACATGATGTATCTATTTATTTATTTAGCTAACCACTATTTAGACCATGTGTTTTTGATTGACTTGATCAAATGGATTTACTACATCAATGTATGTATTTTCAGACCGCCATGTTGTGTCCTTTCTGTGGCCAGCATCTGGGGACAGTTCAAGTGCTCTGTGGCTCCTGTGGCAAACATGTACAGTTTGTGGCAGAAGTTGAACACAACAGTAAGTTCACTTTTTGTATGGTATCTGTTTCAAAGGCAAGAAATAAGGATTCAACACACTACTCTGTTTAGAATACTAATTGCAGATGCATACACTAGTTATCAGCATGAAGGACACATGTTTTCATTGTCTGTTTATGTGAAATATGTAGAAGCCATCATTCAATTGTAGACCAACGCATGATTAAATACACAAAACAGCTTATATTATACATTCATAATTGTGTAGTTATATCTTTATAAAGAACATTATACATTTAGAATCAGATTTTGAGACAGTGAGCCATGACATGATGTTTTCTTCTTTTTCTCCTTGTGTTTTTGAACTATAGAAGTTGCAATCATCCTCCCAGCATGAAAGTATTCGTCATCTTTTGCAGCTGTTGATATTTTTTGTTAAATTATTATGACGTTAACCAACAGTTGCCACGTTATCATAAAGATATACAGTATAAGATCATTTAATTGTCACGTAAATCCAGCTGCAAAATCCATAAGCAGCTCCTATATTTACAGAACAGTATTGAACATAAGACAGATTTGCGAACATCATTACCTGCATTGTCGAACTTGAGGAATTTCCTGTCCTGTGGACCATCAAATATTCTTCTCATTCTCAGGCATTCCATTAGGAGGGTCAGGAACTCCCGCTTGGGACCACCAGTGTCCACTCCATCCTCAGTTTGTCCCTCATCGTCAGTAAACTTAACCTGCATCTGATGAGAGGGGTCGAATGAGGCCCCTTTGAAGCCGCGGATTGCTTTGGAAATGTATGAAAGTATAATTGTTCTGCTTCCTGGCAATGTTACCCACTGTGATTGGAGGCTATGCAAACAACCAAATGTACAAATAAAAATACACACCAAACAACTGTGTCACGATGCAACTGTCAACATCGTTTACCTATAGACAGGGGCGGACTGGGACTACAAATCAGCCCGGGACTCTCGACCGGCCCACTTCGGTACCGCCGGCCCACCGCGGTACCGCAAGTAAATACCGCTAGTAAATTGTCGACGGGGGGGGGTAGACAATTTACTAGTGGTAGACATTAAGGGTAAATAATGTCTACCTCCGGGCCGGTGGACTTGTATTATCACTGGCCCCACCATTGTGACCACTGGCCCGGAGCATTCGTCCAAAAAAAAATCGACTAATAATGAAGAAAATTAACACATTTGTTGCAATAGTAATTTATGCACTAACTACATTACTACATACTACAACATTTTAATCATCAGTTCTTCCTCATTTTCCTCAATTGTTCATATTTGGTTTATTAAAATAATGATATTGTGGTCATTGTTAAAAAATGTCTGCTATTATTATGAGTAGCCTATTATTGTTTGTATAATGCACTTTCTGCCTTCCTGTCATTAGGAGTTAGACATGTAATGGCTATAATTGATTTGATTAGAACCTTATTATCCTAAACTGCTGGGACATTTCGCCAATACCTTTATATTGTCTACTCTTCACTTACTTGTCAGCATAGGTCGGCATTGATGTACAGAGCCGACAGAAGGCCTTGTTTATATTGGCATCATATTGAGAGGTGCAGCCAGTGACGCGTCCTAAAACCAGGAAGTAAGCTGCTGGTTCCCTCGACAAGGGTTTTGGAAAATAGCTGGAAATAAGGTCTGTGGAAAACAAACCTGTTTGATAAATGCACGTTTTGTTCAGCCGGATAATCTCCACATGTCTACCCTACTTTTATAATTTTCGAATCATAAATCTAATCGATAGATTATAAAAGGGTTTTAGGACGCGTCACTGCAGCCAACTCCATCGATCAAGCTGGCTGAAACTTTCTCTCCCTCTTCTTCTCATGCTCCCTGTCACTCTCCTTTAACTCCTCCGGTGACTTTCTTTTATTTGAAGATTGTTTTTTGCCCGGCGCTTGGCCGGTTACCGCTGGTATTAAAAATATTTGGTGAATCCCGCTCACCGGAGCCTGCTCCCGCTGCGCTCCGCAGCAAACAGCTGTTTGCTTTTCACCCAATAACGACAACCGACTCACGGAACGCTTTGTTGTAGCGTTGATAAACGAAACAATTTAACTAAATTGCTAGTCAAAATACCAATACCACAGGAGTGGTATTGGTATTTTGACCCGAGCCCGAGCGGGCAAGTGGAAAGTACGTTATGCTGGCCCGGGGTGTCTAAATAGTGCTTCCGGGCCAGCGGGCCATTTAATGTCGAGCCCTGCCGGTTACCGGCCGGTCCACATCGTCCGACCGGCCCACTTCAGTACCGGCCCATCGGGATTCGTCCCGAACGTCCCGATGGCCAGTCCGCCCCTGCCTATAGAAGGTGTTCTGACCCGGGGCAGACTGGACCTCTTCCTGGAATGGGGTTGGGTCTCCATCCTACTTTTACCCAATAAATAATGATGCAGTTTATCTAATGACAGTGTCATTAGCACACAAAGGTATTTATTGATTTCATGTTCACAAATTCAAACCTACATGGTATAATTACATTTGTAATTAGTCTTACCCGATCAGACGCTGGTTGTGGCTGCTTGAGAGGTCTGATAAAGGTAAACAAAAAATATATTCAAACTACTGTACTGTTAAAACATTCTGCTTCTTGTGGCACAAAATAACATGTTGACAATGTTTTATTTTACCCTGGCAAACTGTTGTCCATTCTGGGAGTGCTCTGTTCATTTGGAAAGTCCCACACCTGCATACAACACACAAATGACTGACTGAAATAAAATAAATTCACTTTAATTAAGAATAAATGCCACGATAAATCCAAACTGACCGCGGTGTCAGCAAGACTGTCTCCAGATGGCAACTTTGCAACAACCACACTGTCCTCGTCACTTGAAGAGGTTGTTCCAGTGTAACCTAAGAAAATAAAAGTGTCATGATTAATACTATACAAATAATTGTTCCCCTACGTCTGTACCTATCATCAAATGTTGGTTTGAATCCTGAATAATTGGATTGACATCAATCAGAAAGGATTCAATCGAAATGTACATTATATTGTTGACCGTCTTTTTCACTCTCACATTAGGATTTAGGGCACAACAAACCAACATTGTTGTGAGAAAAAAGGTTAATTTAGAATTACAATCCTTAAGAGGGAATTTATATTTAGTTTGAACAGAAGGAAAGTTTGGAAGCTTTTGTTGATACTTAAATTCCATTTCTTCTGCCACTATTCATAAAAGACCATTTGACGTCATAAGTTCAACCACGAAGAGAAAGGAATGAAGGGTGGAATGAATTGTGTTAAGAAATATAGACAGAACAACTGTTATGTTTGAACTATTATACAGTTTAGTGCTTTAAACAAGGGGGAATATATGTCAGAGGCACTTACAACTGTTTTCAACGGCTTCAAGAGTACAGATGTACAACGTAATTCGTTGGTAGGGCTTTCCAATGGCCTCTTTGTACATCTGTACTCTGAAAGGGGTGTCCGTTCCGGGGATATTTGTTATCACCCTCGCATCAGGGTACAACAAGACATGGGCACCATCTTCCAAGTCCTGGTTAAAGGCTTTCTGCTTTTTTATGGCAGCAGCCAACAGTTCTTCACATGCCCATTGAGGTTCAACATTAAGGGGAAGTGACCTCCCTCTCACAGGTTTAAGGCAGCCATCCATCCTCCTCATTACTCCAACAGAAATCTGCAAAAAGACAATAATATGCAAATGAATAAAACATTTTTTCGGACATTATATGAGAGTGTGGTGAGCAGATTTGAATGACAGATGTATTCATAATAGAAAACGTTGCATACCTTCACCAATTTCTGTTTATTTTTGGAGTTATGCCGTCCCTTTGTAAAAAAGGTCTCTCCCTCTTTTTGATTTCCCTATATTTCTGAAAGGACTCTACAGCTGAGCTTCCTGCTACAAAAACACAGGAATAAAACATTCATTACTCTTCATTATGTTCAATAGGAGTCTCATCCTCAATCCCTTCTGAGGAACATCTTATAACACATTCAACAGTAGGTAAGCCACATGGTTTAGAGATGTATTTGTATAATAACAGAATTCGAACTTTTAAACCAAGTTTTCTATAAATACTTATTGTTTGGTAATAAAACGAACAACCTATTTACCTGCACTGGTGCTAGGCTGTGCACTTAGATGCGCACTAGTGGTGGGCATCTCCTCAGGGACTTTGTTAGTCACATCTTTTAGAAATGTGATGTCTCTGCCACAGACACCACAAAAGGCATGCGAAGATGTCACGCTGGCACCACAGAATGGACAGTACATCTGTGGAGAAATAAAATGTAGGACAGCTAGGTTAAGTCAAAAAGAGTGGATATTTTTCGGCTACCTAAATATTATAATAGTATTAAAGAACGGTCTTTCAATTAACTCATCAGAAGCCAACCTCCTGTCTATCCCCCCACAAACCAAGCACCGAACCTGGGGGGACAGAGCTTTCTCCATCGCTGCCCCCTCCCTCTGGAACTCACTCCCATTAAACATCAGAGACTGCACTGACCCCCCCACCTTCAAAACACACCTCTTCAGGCTGGCTTTTCATGTGGGAATAATGTTGTGTTGCTGTTTTAATATTTTAATTCAACTTTTTACATTTGATTTCCTTTTTATCACCGCATCGCATTTGCGGCTCAGTTGAGGCCCCCTCCAGGAGGTGAGGGCGTGAGACCCCACCCAGTCTGTGTGATCTGCGTGTAGGGAGGGGCGTCCCGGTTCTATACTATATCTATATGTCAAGAGTTACATTTAGGTGCACAATGGCTCTTGCAAGCTCTTTGATCAAACACGCTAACGCTAGCTATATAAATATGACGCTCTATGTATAAAAAAACAAAACTTACCTTCTTATATCTTTCTCCACTTAAATGAACTTTCTTTCCTCTTGTTCGTTCTCTCTATGTCTGGTCAGACATCGATCTGTTCCACGTAGCGCGCCCCCTAGAGGCCTGAAGCACTTCCGGAATGTTTTGTTTTTGTAATGTCTTTTTTTTTGTAATGTGTTTTTCGGTTGTATGTGCTTTTGACTTTGCATATCGTTTTTGTATTTGCAGCGTTTTTGTGTTGCGTTTGTTTTCTGGGTTTGTGTGTTGTAGGTTTAGCTTGCATCATTTCTGTAAATGCAGCGTTTTTCTATTGTATGTGTTTTCAGGGTTTGTTGGTTTTTCATTTCATTATTTGCAGGTGTTTCCTGCTTATGTGTGTTTTTGGCCGTTGTTTAGCGTTTGCACCTGCCGGCCACCGTACATTTAGCTGACGCTTTTATCCAAAGCGACTTACAATAAGTACATTCGACCAAAAGGATTAACCTTCAGCCGCGTTTTTTCTCGTTTGAATGCCATTGAACACGACTTTTGATCAGAATAACAGCTAAGGTTAGCATATCTCCGTGTTTTGCTACCTAAAGCTACGTCATGTGTCGTCTGTATTTGCTTCCCCTGTTCTGATCGCTCAGTGATGATCCTTATATTTCTATAATCTGTGGACTCAGGATGTTATCTAAGCTTGTTTGTGCAGATCCAATAAGTATATCGATCGGTATAGCTAGAGTTCTGTGCTAACGGCCTTAAGATTTTTTTGCCTGTGGCTAATTCAGAGGCTCAGCGTTAGCTTTGAGGTTTTAAAAAAATCAGTTAGCTGAGTTTCTTCCCGTTGCATAGATATGAAACATTCATAGTTTATTAAATCTTATGAAGCCCTCAGACACTTTTGCTTGCAGATGTTGTGATTTCGGCCCCTTCGGCGGGTCCGTGGGGCTAAAGAGGTTAAATCTATAAATGAATTCACACATGGTAGTAAAACGAACACCATATACAGTATATGTGTTTCTTGGAAGTTTTATTTCCATTAGAGGGAAAGAAAACATGGAAGCAAAATAGACCAAAATAACAAGTACATGAAAAAACGATATTTTTGCCTGTAATGTCCTTAAACAGTAACTTCATAATTTTGATTGTTGGC